GGAGCAAATAAAAGAACACGTAGAGTTATCAATGTGTATACATCACAGTTTCTTTTCTCAGCGCCTATAAGCTTGCTCAATGGTTCACCTCCCAGCTTAGCATTAAGCTCCCAGTGTGCGCGAGGCTTAACGGTGATTTGCTAAAAAATCATTTCAAGTCATGTTTTAAACACGGAGCTCATGCCAGAGGGATGAAGGGTTCTGGGCCTTTCCAGGCTAGAATATTGTCACCTTATTACTAATGATTCCACAAGGTGCTGGTACTCAAATGAAGTTCGCACTGGGTGTAAAGATTGAACCAACCTTTAAATTTATTAACTTTACCTAATTTGCCAAAACGTCAATGCAGTTACGACCTTAATATTCAGTTGAAACAAATTCCCGTGAGTACTAGCCCTTGCGCCTTGATTAATGCGTATGCACTCGCCAGTTCATTTACCCACCCAATTGAATATAAAATGTAATAAATTGCATTTGATGTACATATGAGCCATATGCAACCGTCTTGGTTGAGGTCATGTGTATGGCTCTGATATTCACTTACGGTCATCTGATAAGCACCTGCCCAGTAGCCAAGTAAGCAATTAGAAAGAAAAGTAAGTAATAATAGAGTGAAAAACTTTTGTTTTCAATTTTGCTACAGGCGATGAAGATGATTTCTAGCTATTGCAGTTCAAAAATGTTTATGATATATAAATAACATTAAAAAAATACATGAATTTTCATTCTGTTGTCATGTTTAATCCATTAAAAATTAAAACACAAGTTTTCTCATTCGCATTTGTCCATTTGAAGCTCACTGGGAAATTAATTTACTTGCTACATCAGCATGTAACATTGCGCCTACGCATAAGGGTGCGTTCAGACAGAGCGCCAAGCGGCGTCGAATGAAGCAAGGCGGAACAAAGCGAAGTGTGCTTTCCTCATGGACTCTGCTGAAAACATACCACAGAACTTACGGTCAATGAAAAGCGGCAAAAATATTTGTTCAGTTTTATTCAAAAGATTCGTTGTAAAGTTCGTTTTAATTTGAATATTTTGATATCTTGTTTGCAGTAGCGTTATAAAACATAAAAATTTAATAGGAAATTTAAAATCAAAAACTGCTTTGTTTTCAGCTCCAAAATGCTTCGGAAAAAGCTTGCTGTATGAACACTTTCATATAACTACAGCAATTTGAAAGCTTCACTCAGCTCGGAACGGCTTCGCTCGGCTCAGTTCCGCTTGCTGTGTGAACGTACCCTAAGTCACGCAATGTTTAGACTTGAACTACCACACCCCTACGCATGCGTATATAAATGCTTACATATGTAAATGAATGCAAGTAGAGACAGGGGCGGATGCAAAGTGAAATTAGGGGCAATTGCTTCCAGAGTAATGTAATGTAAAGTTAAAAGCAATTGATTAAATTTTTTAAAGTTAACAGTGTGTTAACCTTTATTGAAATTTTTGTTGGAAATGGCTAAAAATGGTCGCAATTTTTTCACATACTGCGAAACCCTAGGGGGTCGGGGGCAAATTTTCCCTTTCTCCCCCTCGCACGTGGGTCCGTGCTTAAGTATTCAATAAATTTAAGCGTTTGCGCCTAAATGCGCATTTACAATCCCGTATCGTCCCGCAAGCATACATATCTACTTACATATATAGCAAACTAGTTTTGTATATATGGGGAATTCCACGCAAATTCGCCACCATTTGGCTTTTGTAGCTTTTTCTGCCAGATATTTTCGATTTTTGAAAAAAAGTTTCTAATTAATTAAAAAATTGGAAAAAATGGCTTTCATTCCAGTGAAGGTTTTTAGCAATAAGTTAAAAAAAATCTATCATTACGCTTTTTTTTAATCAAAAATGTATATCTATGTATTATATTAAAAATTTTAAAACTTTATACAAATTTTATAGAAACACTGGTCTAACAATTGTTCCAAATTTATGCCCCAAAAGTGTTTTGAAAAGAAAAAAATTTTTCGCAATGTTTTGGACATTAAAAAATTAGTTTTTTTCCAAAAAGCGATATCTCGAAAACGGCTGGACAAAAAAAAATCTGGGAGGACCCTCTGAGATCGTACTATATAACACAAAAATTTATGAAACAAATAAGAAATACATACGCCAAATGGTGTCCGATTCGGCATGGAATGTCCCATATGTGCACTTGTAACGCGTGCAATCACCAGCTCATTGCCAAAGGTCTGCTATGTTTTAATTAAGTTGTCAAAGGCATATTGTGATTGTTGTTGTTGCGAATTGTTGTTCTGACATTTGCTGCGTAACCGTCATTGAAAAAGTTCGAAGTGTTGTTGTAGGGAAGAAATCGTAGGTGTGTCACGGTGTTATGGGAAGCGCTTTATGGGTGTGTCTGCGAAGTGAATGTGTGAGTTGTTGAATCTTTGTTTTTGTTGGCCTTATTGCTGGCGCTTAATTGAAGCTGTTAACTGTCAGCCGATTACGTTTGATTTATGTAACATGCCACTTTTTAACGAAATGCAGGACATATTGAATCAGAAAATTGACAGTTTTAAATATTTAAAATCATTTTGCAGATGAAAAATTATTGAATTTTATAGTGAGTACGTAAGTATATACTTTTACTGCTAAATGCCAAATGGGAACTTAGTCGACTCGATTTTCATGGAAGACATGAAAATTCAAAATTAGCCTCAAATAAAGAAGATTCTATTTTTTTTTCTTTTTTAGGCCTGAAACCAGCATACAATAAACTTTTTAAAATGTTATAAAGAGATATTTCTTGCATTCATATTTTTTATTTATTTTTTATTCTTTACAAGCTCTTTTTAGGTCAAACATAGAAAAAATAGGATAGTTTACTTTTGAAGGCCGGTATTCAGGACAATTTTTAGTTCTCTGTATTTAACCACTTTAACCACTCAGAATCTATTCATCGCAATTGAATGTTTGGTACCGAGTTCATATATGTGTGTGTATGTATATCAGACGGCATTTTATCAATCACTTTTTAACCAGCTGCAAGATTTGTACATATCTGCCATTTGTCTATATGAACAACGTATAATTTTGTATTAATAGCTGGATAAATAAACATCCGTACATAGAATATTTATGAAGAAATTAAATAAAGTATCCAAGTTGTGAATAGTTAAAAAGGTTAAACCTCCTCTAAAACTTTCCAATATCAATATTTTCGCATACAGCATGATTTGGCACTTCCCATTTAGCTCTGCAAATGGCCTTGAGTTTTAACAGTCACACCGGTACGAGGGCCACTAATAAAGTCCTTCGACTACCTATGTAAGTTGCAATTGTCGCATTATGCGGGATCCAATGTGCACATGGCTTTCCATGGTGGGAGCGTGAATACCTAGAGCAGCCTAAGCACACACAAGGCATGTCACAGACAATCCGAATTTTGAATTTTTTTTATAAACAGTTACGTGGTGTCGTGGTGTATGAAATTTTAATATGAAAAAAGCACTTTATTTTTAATATCTTGACGGTTCAAACAAAAAAAAAATGGGCAAAAAATAAAATAAAAAATTAAAAAAAAAATCACCGCCAACTTTTATAAATTGGAGTTATATGAAAAAACCATGGCCAACTTTTATAAATTGGAGTTTTATGAAAAAACCACAAACGCCTCCAAAAACAAAAAAGTATTAAAAATTCATGTGATTTTTTTGCCTAAAATATCATTTTTATTACCAAAATTTAGAAGACTATGAAACTGCAACCCACATTTATTCTAAACATTCAGGTTAAAAATTCGAAATTTTGATGAGAATTTGTTCATTTTCTCTAAAACTGTATAATGTTTGAAATTTTGATTCAGATGTTTTTGGTTAAGGCATTGAGTTAACAAAAAAAAAGTATGCCATTTAAAAAATTCCTTGTGGAAATAGACTTGATGGCTTTTTTTATTTTTTAATGGCCCAGATGATCAATACAAATTTTGTCATTTATTGCCTGGTGAAAATTCAGCTTAACAGAAAAATTGTAGTTTGAAACCATTATAGTATTAAAAAAGCACCATTCATCTAGGTTAGACGGCCAGTTTAGGCTCATGGATGTACTGTTCTGTTTATGGAGTTCGTAAACAATAATCCAACGAAACCCTGCATTTGAAATTTGAATTTTTTTGTCCACTTCAAATTTTGAAGTGAACAGTAAAAAAAGAGCGCCCGTACTGTAAAATGTGCTAAATTCGTTAACGCTAAAAAAATGGGACTACTCAAATGACAGTAATCTTGTTAAATCAATAGTCTACTGAGCTTACTGACCCTCGTAGATTTTGATTTTGATTTGTTTTTTTGCAAATCATTGTATGTACACTCATAAGGAAATCAATACCGTAAATTTAATTAGTTATTCAAATTCAAGCAATTACCCTTTTTTCTGCCGCGAGTATCAACATATAAATCGCAATTCCAACTCGAAACCTATAGTTGATTTCAAACTCCAGCGAGAACGCCACGCAATAATGTTCGAGTTGGTAAAGGGTCGCGGCCGCAACGTGTTCGCCTCCAGCGACGCAGTCATCTATTTGTTCAATGGCTTCAGATATTCCGGCATTAATCCACCCGACAAATATCGTAAACAGTATTTCTTCTACACAATCCTAACATTTTCGCTTGTAATCTTCTCGCCAGTTATTAGCAATATTGGCTTGGTACGCGATCGAAATAAGCTCTCCGTCATGGAAATATTAAATGGCCTGCAAGCCTCCATAAATATCGTGGCTTTACCGATTAAACGTACCGTTTTAACAATGGCACAAAAGCGTCTGCGTAGCGTTGAGCCAATATTAAATAAACTCGATGAACGTTACACCCGACCCGAGGACAAGCTAAAGATACGCGAATGTGCCATAATGGGTAATCGACTTGTTTTGGGTTTTGCAGTTGCATTTCCCATGTATTACGCTCTGTCGCTTGTCGCCGCATTGGTGGATAGGCATGTGCCGGTATCGTTTTGGATTCCGAATGTGGATTGGCGTAGATCCTTGTGGGAATATTGGCTACAAGTTGGCTTTGATACAAGCCTGGGTTTATTTTTGATATATCAAGAAGTTTTGAGCGACTCATATCCGTCTGTTTATATTTACATTATACGCACGCAGATACAACTTTTGGCAGATCGTATGGAACGTTTGGGTTATGATGAGCAGAAAAGTTCAGATGATAATTACAATGAGCTTTTAGAATGCATTGTTATGCATCAGGAAATATTAAGGTGAGTGCGTTTAGGGTAGGCAATTCTCTTTGCGATTAAATTGTATACTTAAATACCATTATTCACATAGAATTGCCGAAATCGTGGGATCTATTATATCTGTGACGGTATTCACGCAGCTTCTGTTTACTGCGACCATTCTTGGCATCACAATGATTAACATTGCCATTTTTGCTGATTTGGCGACCAAGATTGCTGCAATCATTTATTTGTTGTGCGTACTCATGCAAACTTCGCCAACTTGTTATCACGCGTCATTTTTGCTGGTTGATTGCGAAAAGTTGTGCCAAGCTATTTTCAAATGCAACTGGTTTGCACAAAATAAGCGCTTCAATAATTTGCTAATCTACTTTTTACATCGTTCTCAACAATTAATACCCTTTTTCGGTATGAAATTGGTGCCAATAAATTTGGCTACCAATTTGTCGGTGAGCAATTGTTAAAACAAAAAAAATATATAACATATAGAGGGTTTCTGTTCGGACCGCTTGTCTGCAACTCTGATATTGGAACACATCTCTGATTTTTACTTGTAAATTTAATACACTAACGGATACCAAAGTTGAGATTTTTTAATATCAGGGTCGACAGTTAAGGCCGAGCTGGACTGCAATATTTATCAAAAAAAAAAAAAACATTTTCTAAAAATTGCAAAAAAAACATAAGCCCTCGATATCGAAACGGAGCAATAAAATCGAATAAGTCTACTTTTTTACAGATCGCAAAATTTTCTTTTACACTTTTCACTTTCATGGAAAAAATGGGTCTTGGAGAGAACTTGAAGGACTAATGGTGTGCGGTTGATGCAAAGAAAATAGAGGCATATTCAGCATATTTACATATGTAGTAGAAAATATTTTATCCGCACGATTTTAAATAAATAATTCAATAAAAATGAGCACCCAGTAGCTTCTGCAATAATATTTTGCTGTGTTTCAAATTAGACTTCATTTAAATTTATTTAATAGATAGGGCATGCAGAATCCAGGCGCACAGTGTTCTGAGGGTGGAAAAACTGCGAATTTGGAAATGTCAAACTTTTTACTTTAAATTTACTATTTAGTACTACAGTACGATCTCGTTAAAAGCAACTGATAAAATTTTGTGCTCTCGCGTTGATTGTGCTTGTTGCGATAGCTAACATTTCATTGCCCTCAACGCACAAATACTAAGGAAAGAGCTACGGGAAGACGACACTTTTTGTGGAAAATAAAACGCCATAAGTTACAAAAGAATTGAGCCTTACATAGGAAACTATGGAAAATAGTGGTGCGCGCTACCATTCCGCAGGGTCTGGGTTCAAGCCCGGTTTAACCAAATATCAAAAAAAAAAAAACAATTTTTTTCTAATAGCGGTCGCCCCTCGGCAGGCAATGGCAAACCTCTGAGTTTATTCTGTCTTGAAAAACTGCTTCTCGTAAACATACAAACGCAGTGCGGTGTCGGCGTAAAACTGTAGGTCCCTACTCTTTGTGTGACATCATAAAGGCGCACGCCACAAAACGAAGGAGAAGTACATAGCCTTGTATCTTAAAAAAATATGGTTAACGCCCAGAGTATTTTTGCGACACACTCGAAATTTCCATTTTCTACTCATTCCTTTTACAAAATAGAAAAAGAAAAATGTTTACTTGAAACTTCAAATTTGTTGTGCGCTTAAAAATCATTATCGCGCTTTTTTTTGTGAATATTTGCCTCTAATTTTAATTAGTTTGTTTTGAATAGTTTTATAATTGTACCGACAGCGTTTCGCGATGGTTTTTATGATCTCACCATTTACTCTTCACTCCAATAACTTTTCAATAAAAGTGTGCTTCGGTGTCATTTACTTTGGAATTTATTAATTAATTTACCAACCATTTCATTCGTCGTTTTATCACTGGAAGTGATAGCAAAGCTTTAAGTGGTGACATTTTTCTTGTGTATTTTCACAACGTAATTTTAATCAAGTGAATAGCACAAACAGCGAAAATTAAATTGAAATGTTACAGTGAGTGAAGAGGGTCAGCATTTTATCAAAGCAAGCAATCGCAGAAAGGTAGCGAATGAATAGGTGAATTTCAAGTAGCTTTTACATTGGGTTTCGGGAGGTTGAGGAAGAGGTTGAAAAATTGTTTTGAAGTTTCACTTAAATTACTTTACCCCACTAGGAAATACTTTTAGCCTTACTCGTTATTAGCCGCCATCGATTCACCAACACTTGGCGAGTGGTGAAACCAACGAAATTAATGAGGTACAGCCAAACTGGCCATCGTTCGTCGTTGCTAGCTAACTTTGTTGTGGCCTAGACATGCAAAATTTTTCGTTAAGCGACCGCAACTCAAACATAGCGAGCAGAGAAATGACGAATCGAAACTGCACTCCAAACTAATAGAATCTCTAAGCAAATGTTGTAACCGTTCCTTTATCATTTATAGCGACAAAAGAAATTTCGTTTATTTGCTAATATTATTGCGCAATGCATTATTTTAATTACTTTTATTGTAAACAGTAAAGAATCAGGTCAATTAGATCACTACTAACTACTTAATGCTATATGTAGTTGACATTGGCGCTGCGTTTGTTCGTTTCGCTAGCAAGCCAATTGAGGATAGGCGGAACCCTCCGAAGCACTTCGACAATAAACTTTTGAAAATATTTTGGCAGCAATCTAACCTCATTCCGCATTAACAGCTCACATACATGTGTACGTATGTTTACATATATTGATGAAATCCCACGAAATTCTGTTTCAAGTTGACAATAAGCAAAGGATGCAACCTTGAAACAATGCCAAAAATTAGCCATTGCCGATGCAGTTGGTGCATAGTTTCCAATTGTTGATAGCATGGATTATGCAATTAAAAGGCTGTAAGCTTGTCAAAGCTACATTTATTGGCAATGTTTTCATTTTCATTTTGAATGTCGATTTTTGGCAAATTTCAAGGTAGAGTATTTTTGGCGCTAAAAATGAAGGAGTTTGAATGAAATGTACCTATGTACATTCGAATCATTGCCGAATTGTGGGCCATAAGTTGTCACTACATTTGTACATTTCTTGTCCAAGTGAATGATTTGCAGCATAGTTATTACAATTGGTGGTGGGAATTTTGTATACGATCGAAATGTAAAATTGAAAAGTCTTTTTTCAAAAGTCCTATAATAAATTTAAGTTTGGCCAACAGGAGTGAAGCGAGCGCTATTGGAAACTCGCGTTCTTTAGTTAAGTGATAAGTTAACCAGTCGCGGAAATGGTTTTTATTGACCAAGTTTGGGGCATAAGGTGAAATAATTTTTTTTTAAAACCCCCAAGCCGTACAGGTTTTATCAGGGCTTTAAACCGCTCCAAAAATCGTTGCGGTTCGGTTCATTGGTTCAAATCATTTAGAAAAAAGTTATACTAGTTAAATAATAGGCAAGCAAAGGTAGCTTCAGGGCTATTGTAGCATACTTTTGGGCACACTCACGCTACTAATAAACGAAGGTAGTCATTCGACTAGTTCTACGATATATATATATGTATATAACGATAGTCTAGATTTTGCTCTAGTATTATTGTTATACGTATGTATGTAATTTAGTATGTAAATATGTACTTCACGTAAGTTTGGTTACATTCATAAATTAAGAACTTCCACCATTATTGTGGCTTCACTTGCAACCTGACCACCGTCACATGCCAAGGAATACCGCAGAGATCAAAAGTTACTGGTATAAATCGACAACAAATCACCCACATAAATATATACGTGAGCTTCTTCTTCTTCTTTTTTGGCGCTGTAACCGCCTAAGCGATTTTGG